GAGCGCCCAAGAGCACTCCAAGAGCGTTCCAAGAGGGGTCCAAGAGGCGATTTTAGGGGCTTCCGAGGGGGGGCGCTAATTAAACCCCCCCTCTTGTTTGATCGATCTCCTCCAAGATGGCCCCAAGAAGCGCCCAGGAAGCCCCAAGAGGTCCCAAGATGGCCCCAAAATGGCCCCAAGAGGCCCCCAAGAGGCCCCCCGGAGGCCCCCAAGAGACCCCCAAGAGGCCCCAAGAGCCCCCCCAGATGCACCCAAGATGCTCCAAGAGGCCTCGGCGAGAATGCCTAATCATTGATTCTACACAGGTTTTAGCCACATGGAGGCCTCTTGGGGGGGGGCACGGATTAAGATGACTCCAAGAGCGTCTGGGAGAGCCCAAAATGACCTCCAAGATGGCTCAAGATATCCCAAGATGTCTCATAATGGCTTCCTCTGTGTGCTGCCCACTTCTCTGATCGAGGCAATTCCTCTGGGCATCGTTTCTGGATGGGCTGGTGGGGATTCGCGAAGCGACAACAATTTCGAAGCGAACGTGGCGGTGGTGAAGAGAACCTCCCAGGAGGCCCGAAAAGGCGAAAGCGAAGGAACGGTTGCGGTATCCGGGCCATTTCCTCCTCGAGAATGTACGCGCCCAGACCCCCGACCTGATGATTTTTTCCTAACGTCAACCCCCACGTCTGGATCACTTCTCCAGGACCGGTTTTTATCCAGAATTACCTAGCAGCGAAGACTGATAGGTTTCTAGTGGTGTCAAAAGAAAACATCTGATGACTCAGAGGGGGGGTCTGGGCGGCATCCGGACAGCGAGGGCCGGGCTCAGGGCCGGGCTCGTTTTAAGCAAACAGTCGCACACTTCGTGCTCTTCGACCTCGAACTCCCGGGCCACATTTTAATGCCCGGAGCCAACTGTAGGCCACTTCGTGCTCTTCGACTTCCCAAAACTCCATTCCCGGGCCACATTTTGGATGCCCGGAGCCAGCCGTAGGCCACTTCGTGCTCTTCCACTTCCCAGAACTCCATGCCCGGGCCACATTTTGGATGCCCGGAGCCAACTGTAGGCCACTTCGTGCTCTTGGACTTCCCAGAACTCGATTCCCGGGCCACATTTTGAATGCCCGGAGCCAACTGTAGACCACTTCGTGCTCTTCCATTTCCCACAAGTCCACTCCCGGGCCACATTTTGAATGCCCGGAGCCAACTGTAAGCCACTTCGTGCTCTTCCACTTCCCAGACTTCCAAGACTCATCATCTCCATCATCATCATCGTCCCCGTAGCCTTCTTGGCTACAGCCCTGCTTTCGAAGATTTCCTTTCAAAGGAACTGCGCAGCGCCTACTGCGCACCTCAATGCCAGGACATGCTGATAGTTCTCGGTCTGGCGGCGGTGCTCCTGACCCTGCTGCATTGAACAGCGATGCCCCTCAGCCTGCGGCAGGGAACAGCGCTGCTCCTCAGCGTGCTGCATTGAGCGGTCCTCTGCAAACGCTCGTCGATCATGTGAAGCAGTTCGGCCGGATACCACAGCGAAATAAAGGAACGTCCAAACAAGAACGGGCCGAAAACAAGTTGGCCAAACGTTTCTCGGAGGTCAGTCAGGGCGGGGCTACGACATCACACTAAATCCATTCATGGGAGTGCCTGTTTGGGAGCTACACTCATTGATGCAAGTGTGTCGTTTGAGGCTCAACCCGTTGATAGCAGTGTCTTGTTTGGAATCACATCCGTTGATAGCAGTGTCTTGTTTAGACCTCAGTGCATGTATACAAAGGTCTCATTTGGATATACCGGTATCGAAAGCAGTGTTTCCACTGCTACTACCACTGCTCCCATCACTCTTACTCGTTCATTCCACACACTACAACTACTACTTCACTATTACCACTACTACCATCACTACTACTTCTACTGCTACTACTACTGTTACTATTACTGCTGCTGCTGCTGCTGCTGCTGTGGCTGCTGCTAGTGTAGCTATTGCTACTGCAACTACTGGCAGTGCCACTGCGACTGCCGCTGATGTTGCCACTGCGACTGCCACTGCGAATCCGAATGCGACTGCGAGAACACCAGAATTCTACAACTGCACTCTTACATGAATACCACAGTCAACCAATGTTTCCAGCTATGCTTCTACACATCGCTGTTAGGTTGCTTTGCCGGGATAATTATCTAGAATCGTTGTTGGAGGCCCCGAGGCCCGGTCGGGGCCCCCAGCGGCCCATGACGGCCAAAAAACTCAGTCGTACGCGAGGCGGTCTGTGGGAACGCCCTTCCTTCGAACTCGGTGCCCAGGCAAGGCCCTCGGGGAGCCCGGACATTTCCAGGGGGACGCGGCGAAGCTGCGTCTCCCTCGGGAGAACCCGCCGCCTCGTGGCGACACAGCTTCCCCCCTCCCTCCCAGCCTGGAGCTCGCAGGGCTGGGGCCGGAAGGAGACGCAGAAAGACATACTATAGGGAACGTTTCTGTTGGTGCCCGGACAGGCCACTTGCCCAGGTGCGCGCATGAATTCGCATGCAGTCGGACCTCGCAGCATGAACGGCGGCACAGACCCGCCCCAGGCGTCACATCTGCGCCGCCGTTGCGAGGTGCCTCGACATGCCGACCCGAGACACGGCCACCGGCACCACCCCCACTTGGCCGCCGACCTCGAGCATACTATAGGGAACGCAGAATGACAGAAACATAGAAATTCGGAGGTCCGCGCAGATTGCTCGGATCCGCGCTGGACTCCCCTGGCGGCGCCTCTGGCGCCGCCCCTGGCGTGCTCCGCGCGCCAGAAAAGGGGGTCCAGCGCCGATCCGAGAAATCCGCGCGGACCTTCGAGTTTTATGTTTACAGTAGAGGCCTGTCCACAAGAACCTTCCAAAGAAACCCATCCCTGAGACCCCAGGACGTCCATTGAATTTTGCTGCGGGAGCGTCACGCTTTCCATCGCAAAACCATCGAAACCCAAGAAACCCAGGGCACCCTGGAGGCAAACAGGGTGTTTCTTGGCATGGGTCTCCACTGTATGTCATTCTTCGTTCCCCTACTAGTACTATGTGCTGATGGTGGAGGCGCACGTCCGTCACGAATTTGTAAGTCGGCGGGCGCAAGAGTGCGAAGGCGGTGAAAGCGCTGGTCGGGCTGCGGGCGGGACAGGCCCCGAACTAATGGAGGCACAGGCCGGGAAAAGGAAGAGGAGAAAAAGCGAAAGCACGGGGGCCGCTCAGAACATGCAATCCGTCACAGGTGTGCCAGGGATGCAAGGCGCCGCCAAGTGTCCGACAAGAGTATGCAAATCTTATGATATATCTATACGACCACCCTTCGGGTGACAGGAGGTTGGGGGGAGGGGAAAGAACCAACTGCTGACAACTGCGATGGGTGCGATGATGACGATGCTGGTGTCGCGCCCTCGAGCTGGCAACGACGAGATTGCACGATCGATCTCACTATCGATCTCACGACTGATCTTATTATCGATCTCAATCGACCTACCTCACTATCAATTTCAATTTCGATCTCTGAAGCGATCGCAATAGATCACACAATCGAGCTCATAATCCATCCCACTATCGATATCACTCGCAGTCGATCGCACTATCGATCGCACTATCGATCGCACTATCGATTGCACTATCCATGCAAATATCGATCTCACTATGGGTCTCACAGCCGCTCGCACGATCGATGCAGCTATCGATGCCATTATCGATCTCACTACCGATCTCACCGCATCTCGGTCGTTATCGATCTCACTATCGATCTCACTATCGATCGGGACACCGTCAGGACACCACGGCGGGACACCGCGGGACACTGCGGGACAGAACTGGACACCACGGGACACCGCGGGACACCGCTGGGACACCGCGGGACACCATCGGGACACCACGGGACACCACGAGACATCATCGGGACACCGCGGCGGGACACCGCGGGACAGCATCGGGACAACGCGGGACACCACGGCGGGACACCACCAGCCACCGCGCACCCACCGGAGGGCCGGACTTTTGCATCCGAAGCGCCTGAGCGACCTCCGCATCACTCCTCTCGCGCACCCACGGCGAGACACCGCGGGGCACCATCGGGACACCGCGAGACACCACGGCGGAACACCTCCAGCCACCGCGCGCCAATCGAAGGGCCGGACTTTTTCACTCGAATCGCCTTAGCGACGTCGGGCTCATTCCTCTCGAGCGCCCACGCAGCTCCGCCTCGTTCGCACGCACGACACGAACACGAGACCGAAAAAACGATTTCCTGGTGGGGGGCTCTCCGCTCCACGGCGACCTCACCCCCCCAACCTAGAGGCCTCCTAGATGGGGTCGGAGTAGATGGGGTCGGAGGATCGCGCCGTATCGCCGACACATCGGCGATACATCGCCGATGCATCGCCGATGCATCGGCGACGCCAGCGTGGAGGAAATCGGGATCCGCATTGAGCCGCATCGCTGATGCACCGACGATGCAGCGCGATGCTCCGACCCCACCTACTCGGACCTCATCTAGGAGGCCTAGACAACCTCCGATCGATTCCCGAGCGGTGTGGCCCGAAGTCGCCCGCCACGGAGCGCACACCACATGAGATGTCTTGGCGTGCGCGGCGTCCGTCCTTTCTGGCGCCAACGCGCACACATAATCAACATGCTCGGGCGGTGCCGACGGACGCCCCGCGTCGGCCCCCACAGGCTCTCTTGCACGGCGTCCCCCGGCTATCCGCGGGGAGAAGCAGCGGCCGGCATCCCGACCGGGGAAGAGGGCGCGCGGGAACAAGGTGCCCAGCCCGCCCCTGCTGATCTACGAGCGGGGGGGGGGGGGGGGGGGGGCGAGAGAGGGGACGGAGACGAGGGCAAACTGCTCCCACTCGCCGAGCGGCTCCCCGCCGCGCAGCTCATCCTCAACACCGCACGCCCAAGACCGAACGACGGGGCCGTGCTGCTCCCCGCTGTGCTGCCCGACGTCTCGCTGCGATGCTTCGGCCCCCAGCGGGCGGCGGGCGGCCCGGTCTGTCCTCCTTGTCGGGGATCGTGAAGCTGGCGAAGGACTCCGGTTCCCACGGCCGGGCGCATGCTCCCGCTGTAGGACGAAACCAGGACGAGGAGAACATCGGGTGAAGACAGTCGAGAATCTCTGGGATCTGGCGGCTCTGGAGGATGTATCCTGGCGCCGCGGTCCAGAACGCGTTCCAGAACGGACTATCCTCGCCCTGGCCCCTTCCGACGCTTGCTCGTGTCGGCAAGATCGCGCAGCTGCCAGGCAAAGCTGCTGCACACGTCCTCCTCCTCCTCCTGCTCCTCCTGCTCCTCCTCTCCTCCTTCTCCTCCTCCTCCTCCGCCGCCGCCTCCTCCGCCTCCTCCTCCTCCTTCAGATCTTTCCACTCCTGCTCTTGCTTCCTCCCCAAATCTCTGCTCATGTTTGATTTCCGTCCCGGCGTGTTTCCTCGCTTTCGGCCTCTGGGGCGGGCCTGTTGTCGGGCACCGGGACATGGGTCCCGGACGAAAACGCACGCCCAGAAAAAAAAATCTGGTCCTCTCGAGCCGCCCGCTGATTGAAAAACACATTGTCGGATACCTGGGCCGCCCTGCCCCAGATTGACAGCGTTGCTACGCCACGCAGCGCAGGCCGCAGGACTAGCAGTCGCAGGACTTGCGGCACACAGGTGCGCATGGATGCAGACCTGCTGCACGCTCCGCAGCCGCCGGTGCTCGAATCTAGACTGCCCTCGAAACCTCCTCGAGCCACGTAGGGGACAAATGCGCAATCACAGCTTCAGGTATGTCGTTTCATCGCGGGTAGGGAGGGAGGGAGGGAGCGAGGGAGGGAGGAGGGGTTGGGGATGCAAAGACCTTGGACGCCCATGTGGAAGCCGCTTGATTTTTTAACTGACCAGCGGTGATGGCCAACGATGGGCCGAAGACAAGGATGCAATGATGGGCACATGTTGCTCCAACACTACCATATGTAGGACGGGGGAGAAGGGAGAATGAGGAGGTCCTCCTCCTCCTCCTCCTCCTTCTTCTCCTACTTCTGGTAGTGGCGGTGGAAAATGAGCCCATCATGCAAGGGTGCCCTAAGCTATTCAACCTTATGATTCTGCTTGACTGTTGCTACATACGAGGCCGTAGCACGGAAAGAACGAGTCCTGAGGAAAACGGGTCCTGGACCACGGAGCCTTCCACCCAGGACCAGCTCGGCGTCCTGGGCCCGTGGCGGGCGCCACGGGAGGCCAACAGCGGCGACCATCCTGCAGGACCCGCTTCCCTCAGGACCCGACGGCAAGGCCCGTGGCCCACGGACTTAAAACAGGGCTAGGATCGGGATAAATCGCTCCAGAGCGTTCCGGAGCGCTCTCAGAGCGTTCCGGAACGCTCTGGAGCGGCCGCGGCGCCCAATACATCCTCCAAACCCGCCGATTCTCAGAGATTTCGAGTTATCCCGATCCGATTTTGTCCCGATCTTCGCGTCGTTTTATCCTGAACCCCGAGATCCGACGCTGCGAAAAGCATACCACCTCACGAAGCATCACGACTGGAGCCCTGGACGCCCCTCCTTCTGCACCGTTCCTCCAGCGGCCTCGACCTGCGAGGGCCCTGGGCCTGGAGCCAGGCGAGAACGCCGTTTTTGTTTGACTCGCGGGTCGAGAGCGCACCTCTTCCGGTCGAAGCTAAGCGGGCCGCGCGAATCAGCGAGCGAAGAACGGTATAAAAGAAACTTTTTCGCTGTCGGGGGCGCCTGTCCCTTGGCGGCTTGAAACTTTCTACCCCCACGGGGGTATAAACTTTCCAGCCGCCCTGGGACAGGCGCCCCCGACAGCGAAAAAGTTCGTTTTATACCCTTCTTCGCTCGCGGAACGAGGCTTGAGGAAACCAGAGATGGGGGAGGGAAAGGGGGGCGCAGCCTCAGAACGAGGCCGGGAGGAGCCAGGCGCAAACGCCTGCCGTGAACAAGGCCGCAGCGCCCAGCTCCGCGGGGAGGCCGGGCGCCCGGAACGCAAGGGAGCCCCCTTGCAACGGCTGGCCACCCGCCCGCGCCCGAGGCGCACGGACGAGGGCAGCGCGGCACGAGGCCCTCGGGCAAGGGTCGCCAAGGGGGGGCCCCGAGAGCGTGCCGGAGCCCAGAGGGCATGTGCCCCAGATCTCCGAGGATCCGAGTTCCTCGGTTCGGGGGCGTCCCAGAAGGGGCTTTCGCTATTAGGTCGGGCATGCCCTCCCACAGGCGGATGTTGAACGAACAACCTACTACTACTACAACAATTTCAAGCAGTACGTTCCAAAGTGCCCACAAATTGTCAGGAAATCGTTTGCTTGGACTATTTTTGAATACTCCTCCTGTAGAGGGGCATCCCCGACTTGAGGCTTCGCAAATCATGGCCCGAGGCATGTGCACGGCCCAGGCGGGGGCCAGGGGACGTGTTGAAAAACAAGACGAGAGGGGCCACGAGATCCACACGGAGACATCACAGCACCGGCCATGACATCCCCCCCACAGTCCACCCGTGTAATCAGGACGCACGATACCCTGGGTTGCTTCATAAGCTTGGGGGGTACCCCCCCCGACGGGGTTCAACCTCGCCTCGCCGTCGCGCCGCAACGGGGGTCGGAGCGCCTTCGGCGCGCGGTGGCTGCCCGCGACGGGGATCGATGTGGGGGGCTGTCGGCGGGGGTGATGCCCCCCGCGACGCTGATAAAGAAGCTCGGAGTGAGGATGCAAGAACATTCGAAGGCCATGTCGACACTTTGCGAGCGGGGCGCAGCCAGCGAGAGGGGCCGAGGATGCGCCCAAAGGGGAGAGGTGCAAGGGGGACCTCGGAAAATCGCTCATCCTTGCTATGCGGGTTAGCTGCGGTCCCCAGTCAACGCCCCCCTGACGGACGCCCCCTATAGATCCTGGCGTTCTTCCTCGGTATCGGGATCCGGTTTCGGGCCCCGCGGGGACATCGAGAATGGATATCTGGGACTGCCCCCCCGGAAGAGGGTCGGGACCTCTGGGGCCGCACATGGAAGAAATGGAATCGGCGGATGCGCCTGGGGCAAGGCTGGCCGCGGCCACTGGTCCAGTGCGCCTCAGGAGCGCCCCGAAACGGCTACGGTAGGTTCGTGCGACGTCAGCGCGCGCAGAAGTCTTTGACATCGCGTCGATCGTGTACCCTTGCATCGATCGCGGCCCCGATCGTTCACGGTTGAATCCCGTCGAGTCCAGTGGCGTTACCATGTGCCTCGGTGCTTCCGCGTCGCAGAATTCAACCTTGAACGCCTTCGCCGGCGTCGCTGGCGCGCTATCGCCGCATGAACCTACCGTATGGGACGCTGGATAAGCCTTCATGGAGGCATATGTGAACCTCTGCGGCCCTATCATAAGCGTGACTTCGACCAGATTTCGTCCAGATTTCGACCGCCCGATACGGTTCTTTCAATCCGCGGTCCCAACGTCCCGACCCCTTCCCCCTTCCCCTGCGGCCAAAGTATCTTGACGCCCAGGACTCAATTTTGATGGCCCCCTGGGGCACGATGACGGACCATAGCGGCCGAAATCCGGGACAAACGCCAGATTGGCAAAGTCAAAGCAGATACCAATGCCTTGACTTTTTCAGTGCGTCCCTTCTGCCACGGTCACCGGGCCCGGTGAATACCCACAGAGGCCGAAAGCGTCGAACAAACCTCCCGTCCTGATGTTACCAGGACGCGAGCACGTCTGGGTTGGCAAAATCAGACCGTCGGGGATCGGGAACGCCCTGACATCGCTCCGGGACGGGCCACCAGTACCCCGAGGCTGCCTGCCAGGGGCCCGCTCCCGACCCCGCCGTGCTCAACAGCATCGGCGACAGGTCCGGGTTCTTCGGCTTCCTGCGGGCGGCCCAGGGGAGCACGCGGCCCCTGTGAGCCCACGGCCCCGTCTGCTACAGTAGAGTGATTCCCCTGAGATCCGAGGCTCCGACAAGATTGGAGCGGCCTGTCTTTGGCTACTTCCGGCCTCCCCTCCTCGGGCCCCGGGCCCGTGAAGCAACGGCTCGGGACGAAAGAACTGCCCCAGGGAAGTGGTGCAGACCTCTGGGGGTCCTCGCAACTGAAAGGTGGAGCGCCGGATGTCTGGATCTGGGAGGACAAAATGTAGCAATGTTTGGGATGCTGCCCAGGGTTTTTGGGTATACCCCAAACCACTGGATGTAGACTGGGCGGCAAGAGACGGCGCATGTACTGTGCTGATGGCTACACTGGTAAGGAACAGCAGAGTTATTTGAGTGCAAGTCTGGGGCTGCTGCTTTTAGTAGATGCAGGCAAGCTGCGGCATGTCCGTACTGTTAGGCTGGCCTGTCTGACTGGCCTGTCGGCGGTGAGGCTGAAACGCGCAAGTACTACACTCTTTGCTGACGTCTCCCAGAGCCCCTTCCATAACCTGCCCATCCATAGAGACCCTTCCCTGATGCACAGTACGGCTGGCAACAAAAAACAGTGACGTCAAGTACATAGTAGCAGCTCTTGGGATGCTGCCCAGGGTTATTTGGGTGTACCCCTAACCACAGGATGTAGTCTGAGAGGCAAGAAATGGCGTACGTACTGTGCTGCGTAGATATGGCTGGCAGCAAAAAACAGTGGCAATACAACATGTGGCAATTCTTGGGATGCTGCCCATCCTCCACCCTCCTCCTCCTCCTCCTCATCATCATCCTCATCCTCATCCTCATCCTCATCCTCATCCTCCTCCTCCTCCTCCTCATCATCATCATCATCATCATCATCATCATCATCATCATCATCATCATCATCATCATCATCGTCCTCCTCTTGGCCAACTGCGCCAACCTCTCGCAGAAACGGCAGGGCGAACCTCCGTTTCCCTCCTCCCCCCTTGCAAATCTGCGACGAAGGCAAGATTAGATGGGGTCAGAGGAGATGGGGTTGGAGGATCGAGCCGCATCGCCGACACATCGGCGGTGCATCGGCGATGCATCGGCGATGCACCAGTGATACATTGTCGACGTAGGCGATGCATCGGCGACGTCGGCGCGGAAGAAATCGGGCTCCGCATCGAGCCGCATCATCGATGCATCGGCGATGCGGCTCGATCCTCCGACCCCATCTCCTCCGACCCCATCTAGGGCGCCTAGAAAGATGGAGGAACGCCAGAGTCGAGACGAACCTCTGAGGTCTGGCCAGCTCGGAGGACGCACAGGTCGAGACGGGGCCACGAGAGCGCGGATCGAGAACACGGAGCCCCGTCGCCGAAGGCCGACGGCCCGCTGGAGATACGAAAGATGAGACACATCCCAAAGTTAGGGGCGGGCCTGTCTCCCTACAGGCCGATTTTGCAGACAACATTTTAGAAAATTAAGCAATTATTAAACAAACAACTCAAAAGTAGTAAAACAATCGACCCCCGACTACTATCTTTGAATGTCCCTCCTGTAGAGGGACAGGCCCGACGTAACCCAAGGTGGGGGGGGCACACCAGCGAAGAGCACATGGGCAAGCCTCCGAAACCTAGGCTGTTCTTAGCCCTCGTGTCACCTGTACTGGGCGCCGCGGCCGCTTCAGCAGAAGAAGGGCAAACGGCACAAACATCAACCTTTGGCGTTCCGCACGGATTTCCTGGATCCGCGCTGGGCCCCCCCGGCGGCGCCTCCGGCGCCGCCCCTGGCGCGCTCCGCGCGCCAGGGAGGGGGGGATCCAGAGCAGATCCAAGAAATCCGCGCGGAGCGCCAAAAGTTTATGTTTATGCCGTTTTTCCTTCTTCTGCTGAAGGGGCTCCCAACGGCGGGGTCGAAACCAGCTTCACGCTGCAGATGTCTTACCCCGCCTTGCCCTTCCCCCCCCCCCAGAAGCCAGGAGAAGGGCACCATGGGACACGGATTATCTGGGGATCTCTGAGATCCAGCGGTTCTGTAACAGATGCATCGGGCGCAGCGGCCAACTCAAAGCGTTCCGGAATGCTCTGGGAGCGTTCCAGAATGCTCTGGGAGCGTTCCGGAATGCTCTGGAGCGATGTATTCCTGTCCTAGCCCCACCCGACCCCGTTCGTCCGACCCGACTGGACTGGGCAACACGCAAGTACCCATCGGTCGGAAAAAGTAGGGAGAACCATGAAGTAGGAAGGCGTTGAAGTAGATTGGGTCTCCGCCCGCCTCCTGAAGAGAAGGGAAGAGGGACAACCACTCGATCATTGAAGTAGGAAGGCGGCTAAAGTATATTGAAATTTGGGACTCCAAGGATACCTACTCTCAACGACCGATGGGTATGACCCTACGCAAGAGTGGCCTTTGGTGCGCGGCTTCAGGGCCCTGGGGGGTAACATCAGGCGCGCAGACCGCTGCCACCGCACCGCATTCAGCGCTCGCGGGGCCCCGTGCGGCCCGCACCAAGGCCACCCCGGTGAAAGGTCACGCTTGCACGCAGGCATGCTGCGTCGGCAGCGAGGGCAGGGGAAGTCTGCGCTGGCGGGAAGGCCTAGACGGGGGTGCCGCTCGGGCAACTTGTGCCACCGTGCAAGAGAGGGAGCAGGAGGAGGACGCGGCCGAAATAGGGGGCGGCTTACACGCAGACATGCGACGTCCTGACTTCGGTACGGCAGGTTCGCGTCGTGTCGACCCCGGCGTTGGTTTTTGACACCGCAGGGATCGTTCAACCTTGAACGATCGGCCATTTCCGCGACGTCCAATCGTTCAACATCGACCGATTCTGGGCCGCCGCCGGCGTTCAACCTTGAACGCCCGCGCTGGGGTCGCCGCCGGTCGACACGACGCAAACCTACCGTACGCGGTCCTCGAAGTCCCGGCCCTTTCCCCAAGGCCGGTTTCTGGTCCCGAATCGTTCTCTCACGGTCCCAAAGCCCACAAGAGGCCTCGGAGAAGCACGGAAAAACACGTCCGTCCTGACCTTGTTCACGACGGGAGCACGTCGGGGGGTCGATGGCCTTCCCCGCCCAAAGGGGTGCCAAAATTCCGAGAGGAGCCGATCCTGAAGAACAGCTTTTTCTCCTCCTCCGTGAGCGTGGCTTTTGGCGGGGTTGCTGCGATGAGCTCTTCGATCTGCGTATCCAACTCCTTCTCTTCCGCGTCGGGCCCCTCCTGCCGATGTGGCTGCGGGCACGAGCAAATGATATCAACGTGCGTGAGCAAGGGCACGATCGGGAGCTGTGCTGCGAGGACGTGTGCACGGGGGAACGAGACACAGCACGACCCCGCAGAGAACATCGGCAAGGACGCGTGGAACCACTGTGAATGAGGCATCGCAAACGCGCTGGCACGACAAAGCAGATCATGCACCTCCCCGAGCTTACACTCCTCTGCCTTCTCGTCCCTCTCCATCTCCTCGCACTCCCCCGACTTCGACACGCCCGAAGTGGATGCGGGAAAAAAGGGTACGAACCCCAACGTCAGATGTTGCCCCAAACCGGCAGCGTCCGCTGAGCGTTGGGCAGTCTACTTGAAGGGGCCCTGGGACACACAAATAAATACAAACCAGTAACCGGATCCCTCATACTTTCCAATATTTTTTGGACTTTCGTCTTCCCCTCCACGTCCCATATTTTCCCATATTTTCCTTGGAATCGACGATTCATTGTGTCGGTGTGTTTTTTCCTCTCCTGTCCACTCCCGGTCTCGAGCGGACAGCGTCTGCGGCGACGCTGACAACGAGCCCTGCTCAAGAAACTGGGCAGGCCCTGCTGACGGTCTTGGTCCCCGCTCTCTCCGCACCCGTGGAAAAACACATACACACACACAAATACACACAAACACAAAAAAAAAAAAAAAAAAAAAAAAAACAGTGGAACAACAACCACACCGTGGTAGAAAAATGAGACAAAAACCACTGTGTGTGTGTTTGTCCACAGTGTGTGTTCTTGTTTTCCACCGTGTCGTGTTTTTCTTTTGTTCCTCTGACTCCATCCTGCCGACGACACCTTCCCCCTCTTCTCGGCTGCACGCAAGAAGTGGTCCCGGGCCCGGGTGATCTCTGGTGCGCGGCTGGAGAAGGGGGCCGCGGGGGACGCCGGGTCCACGCGTGCAGGCCAGTGCTGGGAGGACCACCGCGGGGCCTGCGCCAAAGGTCGCTCCAACGAAAGGCCATTCTTGCGTCAGGTCGGGCGCGTCCTCCTACAGTCGGGGCGTTGACCCAAGGAACCCCAAATAAGGAACGAGGCCCCTTTTTTCCATAAGTTAAACTTCGACGTCCGATCGAAAACATAAGGAAAGCCTGAGGCAAGCTGCGAAACACTTAAGGAACGCGGAGCCCCTCCCCAACCAAAAGGGTTCCTTCTTCAGGGCCCCGACTGTACGTCAGGTCGGGCGCGTCCTCCTACAGGCGGCTTTGGGACGACAAATAAACAAAGACACCCAAAATAAGCAAACATGGTCCAACAACAGCCATTGAAACATCGTCCCCGTGCTTATAGCATGTTTGAAGATCCCCCCTGTAGAAGGACATGCCCGACTTAACTCTTACGCGTAGCCGATCCTCCTCGCTCCCTCGTCCTCGCCTCCATCCTCGCGCCCTCCGCCTCTCGAGCTCCTCTTGGCCCAGGAGTCCCTCCCTGTGGGGCGCACTCCCGAGTGAGCTCTTCACGTACGCCTCACGCATGCAGTGAGGGCGGCCATGAGCTCACTGAACACAAGGATGAAGGCACGCTTCCGCTGCCCTCTGTGAAATCAACGAGCTCACCTTCGCCCCCACTGCATGCACCCCGACGCCCTCTCCAGCGGGAGGCCACAGCAGAGTGATGAACAGCGAAACCAGGCACACAACCACACGGAGGAAAGATCCGCGGATCCGGCACGAGCCATCAGGCCAGTGCCGCCCGATCCGTCGACGGTGTGCGCCGACTTGTCGATGGCAACGGGGCCCGTCGCTGATCTGCGCGCCTGGCACCTCGACGACACTCGACGAGGAGGGCGATGCATACGCCACTCTCTGGGCGACCGGCAGGCCCGGCTCTCCCGCAGACCGCCGGCGCAGCAAGGCAACACCCTGGCACGGCAGTGCGCCCGAGAGTTGTGCCCGCCGTCGAGATCGCGTCGAGTGCTCTGACTGAAGACCGGATTGTGATGAATACTTCGGGCCCCCAAGAGGCCCCAAAAAGTCCCCCAAAAACAGCCCCCCGAAGGCATCACAACTGCCTCCAGTAGGCCCCCGGCATGCCTCGACGAGATCCCGGCGAACATCCAAGGGGCCCCACCACCCAGGCACGGTGGCGTGATTCGCCGTAGGCGTCTTCGATCCGCCGCCCCCTGTGCTGGATCCTTTCGCATCTCTGCAACGGCCTTTCCCCCGCCCTGCTGATGATGCCGCCCCTTCTCCGCCCCTCCCCCCTAGGGGCAGGGGAAAGGGGGAGGAGGAGGAGGAGGAGGAGGAGGAGGAGGAGGAGGAGGAGGAGGAGGAGGAGGAGGAGGAGGGAAGGAGAGGAGAGGAGGAGGAAAAGAAGGATGAGGAGGAGGAGGAGAAGGAGGAGGAGAGGAGGAGGAGAGGAGGAGGCGGAGGAAGAGGATGAGAGGAGGAGGAGGAGGAGAGGGAGGAGGAGGAGAGGAGGAGGAGGAGGAGGAGGAGGAGGAGGAGGAGAGAGGAGGGAGGAGGAGGAGGAGGAGAGGAGGGAGGGAGGAGGAGAGATAGGGAGGAGGGGAGGAGGAGGGAGAAGAGGAGAGGGGAGGGATGAGGAGGAAGATGAGGAGGAGGAGGAGGAGGAGGAGGAGAAGAGGAGGAGGAGGGAGGAGGGGAGGAGAGGAGGAGGAGGAGGAGGGCGGCGAGGGGGTATGGGGAAGGAACGCGCGAAGAAGGGGAGGGCGGAGCTTGTTTTGTGGGCCCAGGCGGGGGCAGAGGGAAAGAGGAGGATGGAGGGGACTACAATCAAAACTGATCGTAAGGATGCGCGACATGGATGCAAGCCTCTTGGACACCCATGTCGAAGCTTTTTCGAGCGCAGCGGGCCACCAACGATGGACAAAAGAGGCAAGGATGCAAGGGTACCCTTTGGAAGGTTACCCTTCCTCACCATCGGTTTCGACTGTATGAGGGACAGAAGACAGAGAGATGGATGCATGGGAAAAGGGAGAGGGACCAGAAGCAGTAAGATGAGAGGAAGAGGAGGAGGATGAGGAGGAGGATGAGGAGGAGGAAGAGGAGGAGGAGAAGGAGGGATGAGGATACGTAGAGGCAGGGGGCAGGGAGAGAGAACAAACAACGAACAAGGGAAAGAGTGCAGAAAAGGAACACGGAGGAGGGTGGAGGGGGAGGCAGATAGGTCGGGAAGGGGCTGAGATGGAGGGCGGAGAAGAGGACGGGGAAGAGAAGTCGGAGGAGATGAGTGAGGAGGAAGCGATGATGGATGAGGAGGAGGCTTACGAGGAGCAGGACAAGGACTAAGTGAAATATTACCATGAGGAGCGACAGTCGAACCCACGAAGCGAAGGAGCAAGACATGCGAATCGTGAAGATGAAGACGATGACGTCGACGACGATGATGATCGGAGGAGGAGAGGGAGAACGAGGAGGAGGAAGGAGGATGATGAGGAACGACACGATGATGAGGAACGAGACGAAGAGGCCGAGGAGCAGGAGGAGGGGGACGTCGACCACGACGAAAAGGGTGGAGGGCACGTGGGCGACCGAGCACTAAGGCTACAGCAGTGCCGACGCGGCCGCAAGAGACCATCGCAGGAAGCCCAGCCCTGAAGACCCGCTCGCCGGATGCACACGGGGGGAGGGGGAACCAAGAGCACACCCTGCGAAATGCTTAAGATATCATGGGTTAAGAAATTCATAGTCTCAGAACTTGAGTAGAAGCCCAGAATTTCCATTAAAATCTTAGGATGTACATGGAAACATTAAGAATAATCGAGACCCTGGCCGAAAACTTGGGTTTTCTTAAACATCGCCTAAGGGCACGCGGGCGGCGAGCACTGAGGCTACAGCAGTGCCGACGCGGCCGCAAGAAACCATCGCAAGAAGCCAAGCCCTGAAGACCCTCCTCCTCCTCCTCCTCCTCCTCTTCCTCCTCCTCCTACTCCCTCCTCCTCCCCCCCCCTCCCCCTCCTCCTCCTCCTCCCTCCTCTTCCCTCCTCCTCCCCCTCCTCCCCCTCCTCCTCGTTCTCCTTTTCCTCCCCTGAGTGAAACATTAAGAATAATCGAGACCCTGGCCGAAAATTTAAGGTTTCTTAAGCATCGCTGCAGAGACCTCCTCCTCTCCTCTCCTCCTCCTTCACCTCCTCCTACTCCTCCTACTTCCTCCCTACTACCCCCCCTCCCCCTTCCCTCCCTACTCCTCCTCCTCCTCCCTCTTCCTCCCCCTCCTCCCCCTCCTCCTCGTCCTCCTTTTCCTCCCCTGAGCACCCTGAACGCAGCAGTTTCTTTTTCCACGGCCGCGGGAGGTCCACGCGCGGCGCGCGGCAAAAACGCGGCCGCAGGAGACCCTCGCGGAGAAAGCCCAGCCCTGGAAACCCGCTCGCCGGATGCGCACGGGGGCGGGGGGAACCAGGAGTAGGCCTCCTCCTCCTCCTCCCTCCTCCTCCTCCTCCTCCTCCTCCTCATCTCTCCTCCTCCTCCTCCTCCTCCTCATCTCTCCTCCTCCTCATCTCTCCTCCTCCTCCTCCTCCTCCTCCTCCTCCTCATTTTGGCTCAAGTGTTCGCATGCCTGGTGCGCGGCCCACCGTCCATGGGATGGAGGCCGCCGCGCGACGGGCTAAAGGGGCTACCGCCCCCGCGCTGGTCGCGGCCCTCGTGGAAGCCGTTGGAAACAATGGCCGGGCCGCGGGAGAGAATAGGAGGAAGGCTGTAGTTGAAAATGATCTCGTCGCGCGGCACAAATACGAACTAGCGAACAGCACGTCTGGACACTTCGAATGGGCCAGGCCAGCGCTGCAAAAACTACGAGTGGCCAGCGCTGAACAATTGCGCGCCGGCAACTCCCAGGGCACGCGATGAAAAAACTGACAAGGCCAAGCGCTGAAAACACCAGCTAACCGAAAAACCTCAGGCGCGCGCTGGAACACCTAGCCGCGGCAAACACAGAAAAAAGTTTAGGGATGGGAGCGGCGACGGAACGCGACAAGCGGCAGGTGAAACCCACACACACACAAGTGACACGTGACACCCCGAAAACCGTGTGACAAAACCTAACTGTTTTCACTCGTACTCTGGAACCCAACATGGTGCCGTGCAATACTGGATCAACACACGGGTGACACGCGTCACCCCGAAAACCGTGTGAGAAAACCGATTGTTCCATTCGTATTCTGGGCGTCAACGTGGGCCAAACAGTGAGAACAACACACGGGTGACACGTGCCACCCCGACAACCGTGTGAGGAACAACAACA